AGACTGCATATCGCTATCCATCTCAATACTACATTCTTTTTGATGTTGTTTCTGATCAAATTACCGAGCTTTCTCTTTATCCTTCAGCCAATATCATTGTTGTTGGTGACTTTAATGCTTATCACATTGAATGACTTGGTACAAGTGTCAGTGACTCTGCAGGTGTTAAGTCACACAATTTTTGCCTTTCTCAATATCTAACACAAATAGTCAACTATCCAACTCACAGACGGTGCAGACATTTACCTTCTCTTCTCTACTTAGGTCTTATTTTTGATTCTAGTCAGTATTCAGTTTATTCACATTCACCTTTAGGTGCTTCTGATCATGGTTTGATCTGAAACTCTCTAAAACTATTATCTCATTCTTTTTCATCATCAGAAACCCCCTATCATTGTACCACTTATAACTACCTTAATCTAAAGTCCTTAAATTGTGTGACCTTATTCAGCAAATTATCTATTTGTTTGGAACCAAAATCATAAATCTACCTCTTACATTTATCAACTTTTTTAGTTATAGGGAAAATTGTAAATATATTCTACTATCTGCTTTCAACTTTAAATTATCTGTACCTAACTACCAAACTGTTCATTACGGCTATGAATCCATACAATATTAAAGCATACAAACCTGGAACACATCTCCCTTCCTAAATAAAATCTCTTAAATCATTCTCAAAATTTAAAACTGCTCTTTTTAACCATTTTTTAGAAAAATACTGTTTATAAATTTTATATCTTTTTACAACTTATTATTTATAACCTTAACGCCGAGCTTCTATTTATCTATTATTTTTTCTCTTTTCTATTTTGATATATTACAAATTTTAATATCATTTATTAAATTTATTATTTTAAGCTGAAATATTTTAATAGTATTCTCTTTATCACTATTGTTGTTATTATTACTATATTTTTATCATAATGAATATTATTATTATTGTTGTTGTTATTATTGTTGTTGTTATTATTATTATAACTAGTTTTAAACTATTATTTTTATATTATTATTTTGTTGTTATTATTATTATTATTATTATTATTGCTATTATTATTATTATTATTATTATTATTATTATTATTATTATTATTATTATTGTTATTATTATTATAATATATACTTTTTATAATTGCTACTATTATTTTTTATCACTATAATCACTACTATTATTTTATTCCTACTTGTATTATAATTATAATTATGATCTCAATCTTATTTTTATTTAGTCTGACAGGTGTTTGCTTTATATTAGTATTAATTACTATTTTTAAATATCCTTGATATAACAACTATAATCAGAATACATTTGATTTGATTTGATTTGAAATTGAAAAAACAACAAAAATTTTTAAAACTAGTTAAAGTTGTGCTGGATTTATTCTTTGTAAAAAAAAACAGCACAATAAGTTAAGAACAAATAAATTTATCTTTTGTTTTAATTTTATACTTTTTAAATGGGGTAATTTTATACTTTTTAATGGGTCAGCGCAATTTTTTTAGGAATTAGTGAACTAGTTAAATAAAAGTTGCTGATGATGTAAACAAATTTTAACATTAACTATTAATATCAAGTTATTCAAAGAAAGACCTATGCTAGATCATGCTCTGAATCTACATCTTTCAATCCAGTTTATTTAGTGTACCATTTCATGATGACATCGATAATTTGATAAAATACCAACTCAGTTGGTATTATATAGAAGAAAAAAAAAAAATGACTAGCTCAGTTAAAAAAATAAAATGAACATGGTTTTGTGTATTGTTGAACTGTATACAAAATCTTGTAAGTAAACACAAAATACACAGATAAATAAACAGTAGTTCATTTGGAGAATAATTATTTAGAAAAATTAAGAGAATTAAATTTTTTTTAATATAGTATTATTTAATTATTGACTATGGAGAAAGAAGTCATGAGCATATAATATTTATTTTTTCACATAACACTTCTATATTTTTACTTTTTTAGTTTCAAAAAACTAACATTTCAAATTAGCACCAAAACACTCTTTAAAGTATCTATTTTAATTAAATCAAAAAAAAAAAAAGTTTAATGCTACCATGGTTACCAGGCCTCTATTCTGCATTCATTAGAATTTCGAAAATACAATATTGGTGAAGTAAAATCTTTATATTGATATAGTTGTAATTGATTTTATAGAAAACAAATATCATTCCTTTTCTTAAAGACTATACTGGTGCTAATTTTCAGCTTAATCACATGTATAGTTGAACAGTAACTCGTTAAACAAAAACTATAGTAAAATCAAAATGCCTGCTAAATAAATAAAAATTGCAAAAAGTAGCTAATTTTAAAGTAACAAATTCTCAAAAACCCAAATGAAATCAATGCTAAAATTTTGCAAAGTTATCTATGTAACATATGTAATATTCATTTTTACAAAATATTAAGAAAATCTGAGATAGTAAGTTATAAACCTTGAAAATTTATCCCATTCTCTCTTGGATCCCTCAAAACATAAAAATAAATATCTAA